GTCTGCCCGACACTCCCTAAGAACATCTGCCACTCACCTCGTCCTGGACCATGTCTGCCCGACACTTCCTAATTTCCCGCAATATTTTGACCAGGTTGATCTCCGACGCGTAATGTTCGGCCGTCAACTGAACGCTCCACAGGGCCAGGAACACGCCTGTGCGACCCGAGCCCGTGCTGTCGTTATTTAGGATTTAGGTCATTATTTACAAAGGTGAATGAATGTGGAAGATTCATCATACGTATACCGCCATTATTAACGGTCGCGGATAAAATATTGCCCATCAAGATTAATATTTAGTATTATATTATCATAGATTCAACATAATTTCAATATATATGTGGAGTCCTTAATTCACAATATTAAGGATTCCACATAAATTAGTTGATGAAATAAAATAATTCGAGACGGAATAAATTTTATTGATTGTAGGCCTATTATAATTTCGAATAATCCGAGAAACTGGGTAAACTTCAAGATACGAAGCGAAGTGCCAATTATATGGTTGTGTGCGGTTGTATATTTAGAAACCTACTCCTAGTACCAGACCAAACCTCCGTTCATAGCATTACGGGATGTAATTAGTTGTGATAGAGTGCCAGCAACAGTAAATGTGATTCAATTAATTGATATCAAGCCTTTTTAACTTTCCTCATCACTACTGAAAGGCCGCCATATCACATTATAACGTCTATTTTGTTGAAATGTCTTTATTTTCGCTAAACCCGTGATCAAATAAGTGTGGTCAATGGCGAAAACTTTAAAACTCTCTTTAACTCATCGCAGATTTCTTACGTTGCTTGTGTGTACTTACTCGCAGTGTACAACTGTGGTGTTGCGATCTGTGTTGACATCCTTTCTGACAGCGTGCAAAAAACAACAGAATTCCTCAACAGATGGCAGCTGTTGATCGTTGAAAACCTGACTCTTTCTTCCAACAGACGACAAGCACTGTCCTTCAGACTGCGATATGATATGTCCACTGGCTGGCATGAACTGTCCGTTGGGCTGCAGTAGAGTCTGTCCCTCGTATTGCAGCACCAGCATTTCTCCAGGACGCCCTAAAACCTGTCTGCGATTCGGGGGCCAGTTGATGAACTGGAAATGCTTCAACAGTCGTGTGGATGATTCCTAGTAGAAAATAACATTATTGAATAAATTTATAATAATTAGTTTGAAATAATTGGTGAATTGCTTAGCATTAATTGTACACTCCTAAGTTACATTATCAATTTAAATCAATAGAATTAAATACAAATAACAGGACCTAGACAACTGAATTGTGATTTTTTGATTGGCGTATTAATTATTATCAATATTGATGAGCAACCCTAAAATTTAACTGTTTTATTGTGTTGAAATCTTCATTACAAATGTCACTATTTTCTGTTTTAACTTACAATGGACACTTACGATCGACGGAGATACCGTCAAATATTTTATTACTCTTATTAACAAAATTAATATTAATGACTCTTGTAGTCGGTAATCACTGTTATATATAATGAGCTAACATATACTAAAAAATATTTGTACACCAATAAAAGGTTGATTACTCACGTATGTGATGGCCAAGCTTCTCTCCACCCACACTTGCTCCACGCGTTGTTCCTCTTGAACAAGTCGTATAGTGAAGGGGGGATATCGCATTTCGGGATTATATGAAGTAGGAAAGTAGGGAGCACATAATTCCTGTACATAGGATCCATACGTCAATTATAATTGGGATACATCGTTCTTTTTGCAAACTGTACACGTTATTAAATGAACATGTGAAAAATATCACCGGCTGATTGGAAAAGCTGATAATTTCCAATTGACAATATTGTACTGGCTTGGGTGGCGATTTTAAAACTTGATAAAATGAGCGCTCGGAAAGGTTGTATAAAATTATAGTTTCAAAAATCCCTCTCGGTAATTTCGGAGATAATCAATGCGTTTAATTTGAGATATGATATCTTCAGCCGTTCATTTAATGAGACCTTATGCGCGCAAAAACCTAATTACAAAAGAAAAAGAAGAATGGATGAAGGAGCCAAAAGACACAACAAATATAATTCAATGAGATTAAGTCCTTCTTGTTTCCCTCATAAAATTCCTTAATAATTATAATTTATCTCCGCAGTAAACATGGAATAAACCTTGTTATCCTTATTTCCGTCGTTAAATTCCATATAATCATAATTTATCTCCGTCGTTAGCATAGAACAAACCTTATGTCCGTCGTAACATTCAGTGATCATGATGATCTGGTTGACGCTCTGCTGCCAGGTCATCTGCCAGAAGGCGACGGTAGTCCTCTCAGTGGGGCTCTGTGCCGCGATGAACGTCAGGTGCGGAGACCTGATGTTCTGGAGTAAAATACATTCAGTGAGGCGATATTGGTTCAAAAATAGGACAAAATCATATTGATTTTGGTGAGTGACCAGAATATTGATTTAGGTACCCTCTTAATAGTTATCAATAATTCTATAATTATTTATACTGAAAAAAAGAGTTGATTCGTCGAATAAAGTTTTACTAGTTTACACGATCGGTTATGAAATTTTTAGTATATAATATTATTTCACCCTCACTAATATTTTTAATCATACAAATGAGTATTCAAATCAGTAAAATGAGTTTATTCAGTCAGTGGAAAGTTACAGAATTTGTAGGTTCCAATATTCATAAGTGTGGAGTTACGGAAGTTGAAAATATCAAATATTTTGAATTTATCATTCAAGAAGAAAAGCATGCCGTAAATTTCATATTTTTTAAATCTTTTCCGTATTTTTATTGAAGGACACTTTACAAATATTAAATTCTTCACCAAAAAGATTTTGTCTATAACTATAGATTGTGCAAATTATTTTGAGATATGAAATTTTCAATAATGGCTCGTGTATTTATAAAAAATTCAATTCCTTTGGTGATATTTCTAACAAAAAATTTCATTCGATATTAGTTTACTGTTACTGACAAACTATAATCATGAAAAAACTCTTGAAGTATTTCTCGAAAATCTTCTTCAGTCAAACAAAGAATATACATACTGTATATGATCTACTTCCACTCAGTACTCTACTTCCACAGTAATCTACTTCCACTTCGGGATAATTGTCTAACCGAGTATTCCGATTGTGCAATAAAGAATAAAAAACAAAGCAACTTTTTGTATTAATATGGATAATAATTGGATAACTCATGATTTTGGTAATGGATACAAAAATACTGTAGCTCAGTAGATATTTCTTCAGCTTTTATATAAATGAAATTTACAGATCAAATTTGCAGCCAACTTTATTTCTTGCTACTTAGTTGAACGGATGTAGACAAGGTTTTGGGTCTTGGTTTCGTCTTCAATAGAAAGAGAGGCAGCTGCAGGGTAGTGGCGTATACGTGAATCGCACGTAAGATATGTCCAGTCGCCCCTGGTTGTTCTGAAGTAAATAAAAAAATATAACTCAGTACTCACTGCAGTGAGTGACAGAGAGCGCATTATCTTGTCGACGAAAACGTGATGTCACGGACAGACAGACAGACGGACGTACCGACGGACATGGCGAGCACAATAGTGCATTTTTTCCATAAATGAGAAATGCGCTAAAAATACGCTTGAATTTCTTCTGACAAAGAAATATAAGTAACTGACTCGAGAAATAATTAAGATATAATTAGGAATAATTCAATATTCAAATGAGAACATAATTACCTTAAATGAAAAATCCACTTAAGAGGCTGAAGCCAAGTAATGCTCCGAGATAAGTTAGTGAGAAGGATTAGCCCGGTGATAGTATAAACTAATGCATGCGGTTAACTATAATTAATAATAGTTGCTGAGAAGCAACTTAAGATTTTAACTTGAATAAACTGGATCAATCAAGTGAATAAGCGAATGGCATGCAAATGAATGAGGTTGATGAATAAGAGGAAATTTAAGGAAGGACTCGCTGGCGGAACCGGCGGCTGTCAAGGCTCCTTTTCTCTTTTACTAAATTAAAGGTAGAGAGCGACGTAAACTCTTTCTTCACGTTAAGAAAGATGAAATTTTAAATATAAATTTTAACATTTGAATTTTCAAATCTCTATCAATTAAATGTCTAATAATGAATACTTTTAATTGTTTCACGGCAACCAAACTCACAGGAATGAAGCTGGCGTTGATGTAGTCGGAGTCGTGCAGCGCCACGCCATCCGTTAGCATAACTCGGGTATAGTCGACTGGAAATCAGATATTATGTTTATTACGAGATAATTACATAACTTTATTGACTTACGCTTGGAAATAGTTAAAATTGAAGTGTATCATAGTATCAAGGTATCATAGTATCATGACATAGTATCATGGACATCTGGGAGAATTCTACTGTTCGTACCCGTCAATTATGCAACCTAATTTTGATTCGTAACGTCACATAGCAACATAGTTATCCTTTGCGCATTGTTATAGGTTACAATCAAACTAATTGGTGCTTAAAAACGTGAAATCGCATTATATCAATTGGTGTAATTCAAGTCCAATAAAATAAAAGCTAGTTTAGTGGCCAAATGTTTTCTAGCGCTTCAGCAATTTAGCTATCTCGCACCGAATGTCAAGATGAACATCACCATAGAGGTGGAGGGTCTCCGTTATCGAAAGATTTTAAAATCAAAAATTGTTCATCACCCGCAGAAGGACTCAATTGTCCAGTGCTCAGAAGCTGGCGCAAAAGAAGCAGCGTTAGCACCTCAAAGAGACGAAGTGACAAGGAGGGACAGGTGAAAAGCAACAGAAACGAAGACACTCGAACAAGAGGTCGCTTACACGGGACGTCGGCCGCCCGCACGAGAGAGACAGTGAAGGGAAATGTAAGGAATCCTGCCTACATAATAACTTAACCCCACAACTGAGACCTACAGTCAGACACCGCGAGCTCAGCGGTGGGGCGCTCAGGAACAATCTCCCTAGGAGCGCGAAATCCCATAGGACTTCTGACGAGCACAAACACGCGTCAAAAGTCCCCCCTGAGGGGCAATCAAATAAAAATCAAATTAATTGTTGTCAGGAGAATAATTGGACAGAACGCTGCTGGGATATACAAAATATTTTCCAATTGTTTGCATTTGATTTATTTTTTGATACAATAAAATATCAAAATCCACTGTTTTTAAATTTGTATTGAGCTTCTCTAAGACGACTCTGAGTTAAAACCAAGTTTTTCCAAAAATTTTTCTAAATACACTACAATGCAATAACGGATGAGTCAAAGAAAATATTTAAATTTTTTTCATACCAGATTTACTTAGTTATGTTATTAAAATTAATACCTTCAGCAACATGTCGTAATTATTATTTATCACTAAGAATTAAATCTTAGGTTCTTGTAAAATCATCCTGATACGGCACGATACGTGGCCACGCCCGAGCAGCCCTTGTATATTGAAAGGCTTAAGGCTTGTAGTCAAAATGCAGCGAAGTCTGAGAGCGAGGTTTTCGCGACCATCGTGTAAAATCCTTGATCTGCCCAAAGCTCGGCCAGTCGCTACCCTCGAGCTTGTACTCTTTGTAATATGATATCCTAGCCAGACCCTTCTTCGCGGGAACTGGTCGCTTTCAACGATCATAAATATTTTTTGGTGGAAAATATCTATAACAAGGAAGCTGATCAAGGAATGCCGAATATACCATTCAATTGACAATAAAAATTACAACCCGTTTATATCTCGAAAAAAGTGTAAAAGTCGCAGATTTGATGAACAATAATATTCAAAGTTTCTTGAAATTTCCTCTCATTAAAACTCTTTTAATACTAAGTTTACATATCTTTTGTTACTGGTCGACGCTTATAAATAAATAGCTGGGTAAGTATGGAAAAATCCATATCGCCATCTCATTTGCGAGTGGAGTAAAGTCTATCCTAATTAGTGAAGAAACGCTTAGGGAAGAGCCGAGCCTGTTCGAAGCCTCTCGGCTTTCAATCAGGGCCTTAACACAGCTAAAAACGTCATTTGTTCCTACCAGTATTCCATTACTGGTGTAAAGAGCTGCAGCAGTGATCCTGGCCTCTTCTCTATTAGCGCCGATGCCTCCCTGATGTCGTGCGGCCCTGAGAAGCAAACAGATGCGTGGCGTGAATAAGTTCATTCCTTATTAGCATTGCCGGAGAATGATGTTATAAGCGTGGTTCCTACCGAACGCTCATACTTCAGCGTTAGCCCAGACAACCCAACCAAAGTTTAAGCAGGGAAGTGAAACTTGAAACTTTATTGCAACTTTATTGATAACGAAGGCACTGGTGGATACTGGTTGAGATGCAACTTGAATCAAAATAAGGAATTTATGAAAGAACAAAATAATGAACCCGAAATAAAGCCAGCGGATGGCTTGTACTGAATCTATTGTTCGTGGTAGTGAACTAATATGATTCTGCAAACAAAAATAATAAACTTAACGAGATAAGGTAACAATACTTAACTTTAGTTATTCCTAACAACATAGTATCAATTGACAATATCACACAAATATTTACGTGACACATTGTCACAGAAAATTCACAAACAGTGAAGTGCAAAGTGATTCAAGACTGACAGAATGTAAGTGACGAGTATCGAAGCATCGCGAACAGCAGGAAGTTTCTCTATGTAGATAATTTCTATGAATAAATGTCGATCATTTAAAGTCGAAAGACAAAAACACGTTAAAAATAACTGTTAAATGATCGCAAAAAATGACAAGGAAAATCGTGGTACAAAAATTAGTGACGCACGTGGCGCTGCCACAATTTTTCATTGTGCATTAAATGCACAATTAAATTATCAGCCGATTGATGAAAAAATTATAACGAATTTATTACTTCCATTCATTTAATACATGAAGAAATGGCTAAACTTTTGAATATAATAAAATGTGGATACTATACTGAGACTATTTACCCAAAAATCATTCAATACTATTCTCATTCATTTGCATATATCATTCACCACATACTCCTATTAATTCACAAAGAAAACGACAAATTATTCTCTTGACTAATTTTTTCTCGCTCGACCTAACCTCAACCCTAAATAATTTTAGATTACCTTATCGACAAGGGGGGAACTTAAATTCCCAAACGAGAAGTTGTGATAACTGTTGTCGGCAACCACTAGCGGAACAGGAAAAAGTGTGCATGAGAGCGTACTAAGAACGTCATCTCTTATTGAGCCACTCCGGATGTGTGCACAGCAATCCCAGATGTCGATTCAAGAAGGAAATAATACTTTCCAAATGGGAATCCTCGCTAGATGCGAATGAGCTGAGTTATTTTGAGTCTGCCAATGCACGCTCATATATATAAATATAATCAGAGAACATTTATTCGAATGATCAGAGAAGATTTATTCATGCAAAATACCTTAAACTTAATTTAAACGTCTTAATTTAGCCATCTGGGCATATACTTTCAAAAAAAGTTAAGAGATCGTAAGTTCATCAGCCGATCATTGACGGGCTTTCAAGCAAAATCCACCAATCATAGACAAGAAAATAGAGCGTAAGTACTTACGTTCACTTAGCGAGTTTTGAAAGTATGGCCCCTCGTACAGCGAAAGCTAATGGGGCTCACAACGGGCTTCGTCATCATCGCCTACGTCATCAATGTAGCCTTCACAGGATAGTGAGACTATCCGTCGGCCAAAACGAAATTGATATATGAAACAATCAGATAATTGCTCATGAAAAAATCAGACAATTTTATCTGTACCGCATGAAAGCATATTCTGTACCGAATTTATTATTATCGTCGCACCTAATATTTGCTTGATTTCGAAATTTCAATAAAACCTGTAATGATTTTAAAACCCTAGATATGACATTTGCGTTGAAGGTTTCTGCAAAGATTCCTGTTCATACTATTTATTTAACAGCAACAAGAAGCAATAATTAAGTATAAGCAATTAAGCGATAAGCAATTAAATGCAACAAGAAAATTCTGTAACATCAAACATGTGCACCTGTGCAGGCTACTAGAATTGATCACTGATTTGTACCAATCATTCATTGATGATTAATGAAGAATGATTGTTATTAATCAATCAGTAATAAATGTTTTATTGGACATAAAAAATTATAACTATCAAAATTTGTAGCATCTGTAATATTGCCTTATGTTGTACATTAACTAGTCTGTAACAGACAAATTAGTTGACAAATGATGTTTCAATATTTAAAATAGGGATTGAATGCAATGAGTATTCTGTTATAATCGAATAATTCTTTGCAGTCGAATAAGCTTGGTTGAATTACCAACACGTTTCAATATGTGAAGAAAATCGTTTCTCTACCGTAATTTCGACATACTTCCATAGAATAGGATTCAAATATTCTGCAACAGCACAAGAACACAATTATAAAGTGCAGTTCCTTTTTTTCGATAGAGTTCAATTCACATTAAGTTAAGATTTTTAAGTATACGTTGGTCAGTATACGTGTCCGGGATGTTGTGAAGCCTTATCGCTATCTTATCTTATCCTCATCGTTTTCGAAGGCTATAAAATTAATTTTAACTCCCGATGTTTTTCAGCGGATTGTAGAATGTGTTCGTAAAGCCTAAATCCAGGTACTTTTATGTATAATTGATTTAACTTGGTTTTTGACAATCATGGAAATAATCATGACCTCGTCTGTTGCATGCATCGTCATCTTTCAGTTCATGTCTTTAATTTGTCATGTAAGTTGTATGGGTAATTTAATCATTCAATTATTTATTTTCCACCAGTCTGGGTCAATGACATTCAATGCAAGATGAAAACAAGGTTTTGAACTATTATTATTTGAAGCTCCAGGATGCGCAGCAAAAGAGTAGTGGTTGTAAAAATAGTTGGTAAAAATATAAAATAGGTAATAAAAAAATAGCAAATAAAAGTTGTTTTTTGTTTTATTTTACCTTTTTAATCCATACATGACCATCGCGTTCACATCGCCGACAGTCATCATTAACAGCCACAGAAAAGAAATTCAGGAACGGTCGGCTCACTGGGTTGATAATGATTAGAAAAAAAACATTTTAATAATACACATTAAACAAAACTTATTGGTGCGCTCTTGTGATCTCATGTAGTCAAATAGAGACTAAAAACTGCCAATGTAACTGATCATGTAACTGATCATGTAAACTTTTTATGTAACTGATCATGTAAATAATTTTTCGGAACAGCTTTACTCTTTATTGTGCTGAAATAATTGACTCACCAGCACTGCCGCACATATGATGACAGCAGCTCTATGGACCAGCATTATTGAAATGAAGTAGCATCATCAATTTAATTGTTCCATCGCGGGAAATTAAGATTATAATCTATAGTATCAGCAAAAAGACTCTAATTGTGTAAACTGGCCAATGCAGTCATCGTTCACTCCAAGCAGTTGTATGCAATAATTCGATTTACAAAGTGGGAGCTGGACCATTAAAAAAGACATGATTTTATGAATTGAAATTAAAACCCGAAATTATTTGATAGTCTCTTGTCTATTTGATTGAAGAAAATAAATCAAGGGGTAATACCATTTATAGTAATTCATCTTCCAGCAAAACGTCCAAGCTGCAAGTGTAATGATGAAATGTTACATGGATTGAATTTGTGATAACTTATATATACCGTCGAACGGGGTATAATAAGGGACGGTTTTGAGCGTTTTCCGTTGATAACTTCTTACCATGAAAGATTTCATAAACAAGATTGGGCTCATTATAAAGGCCTTTTTGAGGGCTATTGAATGGCTTTTCCGAAAAAATTCCCTATGCTGTTTGGAAGGTGCTAGACGCAAAATATAAGTGTCCCCAATTACCCCTGAGAACGGGGTAATTAGAGACTCTAGAGATAAAACTTGCTTCTTTAATTTTAAATTGTTTTTCATTTATTAATATGTTATAACGAAGGATAAGATGGATAACTGTAATTATCCGCGTATTACTAAAATATTATAATCAAAGTTATTAGTCTATTCAAATAAACAACAATGAAATTTGAAATGAGCAATATTTTTAGGTAATAGTAATGAGAAAGCTATCATTATAATAAATAGTTCAGTATTATTTCCTATGTTATTCGACAGAGTTTTGAACAATTATACTTAATATTGGAAAAAATGGATCGTAAGGTCATTCTAAATTTCAAATTCAGATAAATTTTTGAGCGCATTTTAATCGCTCGTACTGCTAATTTTTATGAATTATGCTTAGCAACACCCATCTGCAATGAATCACTCTAAAAAATAACCTATCAAGTGAATAATTAAATTAAAAACACCCTATTTAACTTTTATAAAATATAAGACTCATGACATACCCGAAAATACTCAGACTCGTGACATACCCAGCGCCAGGAGTTTATATTGTGCATGTCATTTTAAAATTAACGAATCGACAAAAAATTCATTTGCGAAGCAGCCAAATTTTCTCACTTCATATTGCTACAGAAAATCTTCTCGCTATATTTACGTGCTTGAAAAACCATAGTTGCTACTTATTATGATTATTCCATGATTATAATGAGATCAATTATAGTTTATTTATAAATTAAAAATTCGATTATTTATTTATAAATTACAATTTTTAAATATTTATACTTAATAATTATGAATAATTATAATTATTTATAAATGAGAAAAGTGACCAAAATTAGGGATGAAATGTTGTGAGCTTATCCGTTGAAAAACCTTATCATTGTACGAAACTACTAACTGATATACCTGAGATATTACGGACCTGTGTTAGATATGAAGCTCACAGTTGCTCTATAAAAGGAGTGTGTCTATTACTCTCAAGTTCATTCTATTAAATTGACCTGTAGACACTGACATTCTATTGACACTGTAGCCGCTTTCTGAAAAAGATAATAGTATTCTCCGTAGAAAAAGGAAATTATAGTACGTGTAAACTAGAGTAGTGTATTTGCTAAAAAAAGTTGCGCTCGTGCTATCCAGTGATTTAATAAATGCTGTATTATCAACAATTAATCAATAAAATTATGAAATCGATCTTTTACAGGTTCGACATCCGATTCTGTATTCAAAATGAGAAACTCTATCGGAATCTTCTTCATCCTACTGGTCCTCTTGGCTTCACTGGTAAGTCTTCAACTCATAAATTCTTCAGTCACCATAAAAAAAATTCTGAAGCAAAACAATTATTTGTGTTTGGTCTTGATAGTTTCCATGAAATCCACTCACATGAACCTTCTAAATTGGGTAACTCATTAATGTTAAATTCAAATTCATTCGTGAGCAGGTTTACTGTAACAAAATACACCTGAAAATCAGCCTGATATCAAAATACGATACTAATAAGTACTTATATCATCGGTCTTCTTAAATCACAAGCTCACAAAGAATTTAAAAGCTAAGAGAACGCCAAATAAATTCGCCATGTCGATATTGAAAACGTTTCAGAGTCCAACTCCATCGACAATTCGACAGTCTAAAAAATGAATACAATCATTTTATAATTCAAAATTCTATGTCAGAAATTGGAACCTACTTAAACCAATTACATACAAATCAACCTCAAGTGGAAAACAAGCACTCGCGGAACACAGTTTCATAAGAGACACGAAAAAATTTATACCCAAGAAAAACATTAGAACATAAAAGTCTAGCGATTCGCTATTTCAATAGGATAAGAACTGAACTCATTATTGAGTCACAGTTTTCGTTGGAAGATATGTAGTGATTATAAAATCCTCAAATCCGAACCGCCATATATCTAGTATATACATATTTGCGCTTTTTAACTCGATCTTGAAGGGCTAGTAATGTAAAGGCACGGAGGTAAAATTTCGACAATAACTTTCCTGAACGACTCCAATTCTTGGATAAACACGCGCGACCCCTCATGATGCACTTATTTCGTACTCTGCTTTTTTTGATAGAATAACCCATGATCATAATTTATCGCATGCCAATTTGACCATTTCACTCATGTCATCTCTTAACAGGGAATGTTCCTCAGATGAAGGTAATGCTCCATGTTTATCTCAGTCTGGTTACTTTCATGGTTTTTCTTTCTTCTTACAGGTCAAGGAGATGCCGTTTCACATCGATGAACACGATCAATCATGCCGTCCTGAAAAACTACAGGGTAATGTTAATAATGTCACCAAGCTGAACATAAACTATATCTGTATTTATGGGCTGTAGTTTTGTGGTAGAAAAAGTATAGAGATATCAAATTGAAAATAAAAAAATAAAAATTCTGAAAAAATTCATGATTCAATTTTAATTTTACCGTTTTACTTCACTCGATTAAACCAAACCTAGAGCAAGAATTCAGTCAAATAATGATGTTCTGAACTAATAGGCGTTAACTGTTTGTTTGTAGATAATTATCTGCACGCACATTCCCTCTCCATAGTCAATCAATTCTTTTTATTTATTCCAGAGCCTTCCGCGGTCGCGTTTCAAGCAAGTTTCGAAGCTGCTCAGGGCATAGCCATGTCATGGGAGACTCCGCACTCTGCCTGCCCTATTAGTCGCTACCAAATTACTCACTCAGTTCTTGATCTCAACGACCCTCACCAGCGAAAGACGATTCAAACCATTAACTTGGACAGCACTGATACAAGCTACACCCTTGACAATGTGAAGCACAACTCGCTGTACGAGGTGTGCATGACTGCAGTCGCAGTCGGCGAAGTCTCAGGCCCGGAAACCTGCAAGTCCATTTTCATTCCAAAATTAGGTAAGCTCAACGTGTTGCGTTGTTGTGGATTTTCTTTAACAACTTGCCGTTAAAATTAAACTGAGCACTTGCGCACCCAAATAATCTTGTTCACTCTATGCTGAGTATATACAAATGTTTCATAAACTGGTCTCAAGTGTCTGAATTAATTATTCAGGAGACTATTAGCTGGGTAAAACCATAAATCAGTGAAAATAATTTTAAAGTTTAAAATACATTTTTGGCTTAATTTGAACACGCAGAAAGTGAATCCTAGAAATCATTGGTGCATAACTGACCGACCCAGAGGGCATCTGCCAGTTAATTAATTCAAAAGCTTTCTCTAGATTATTAATGTTAATTTTTAAATACACTTTAGGAGTCGAGCAGCTTGAAGCAAAGATTGTGGCTGGCCAGGGAATTAGAGTGTCCTGGCATCCTCCAATAACTCTCAGCGATCTCATTCGTTATGAGATTTCCTACACGCAAGAGGTTCTTGACAACAGTGACAAGCCCAAGACAGTAAAAATATTCAGAGTGGAGAGCAGTTATTCTACCCACGTGCTGAGTGATGTTCAGCCCAACTCGTCATACGAGATTTGCGTCTCCGCAGTGGCTAAGAATTCCTACGGCGGAAAGACCTGTACATCCATTGACACTCCAAACGAAAGTAAGCATCATTGTATAGTATCAATAAAGCGTTAGCATCTAGATCAAATATTGAATATTCACTAGGAACGTCATTGAAAATTATAGAAGAGATTTAATATTGGCGAGTAGCATGAATTGGAGCCTAGCCGTGTGTGAATAATCAATTGGTTCGTAAAAACATTAATTTACCCGTGTCATTTCAGGAGCAGCTTGGCGTAAACTCGTCTACCAACGTCGAGCTCCAAATTCGATATTCAACTTCGTGTACCAACTTCGGCTGCCAAGTTCGTTGGCCAAAGAACTTGTCAACCTACTTGTCAACCAACTAGTTAACATGCTTGCCAACTACTTGACAGACTACTTAGCAACCTACTTGTCACCATACTTCTCGCCCTACTTATTAACCTACTTATCAAATTGTTTCTCAAACTACTTGCCAAACTATATGTCAGACTGCTTGACAAACTACTTGTCACAATACTTATGAACCTGCTTTTCAATCTGTTCGATTAGACGTGGGGGTATCGATTCAGATCGATTAAGACAGAAGTTATTATTTGCGTCACTGGAACCGATTATATATGATTCTAGAGTTTGGCACGGGAGAGTCCTGTAACCATTGTCTCCGTGAAAATTTTTCACTCAATGTTAGCAACCCGCACGTGATTTGGAATCCAAATGATTTTCAAATGAAATCATGTTTTGTATATCTGTCAGGAGTTTAGTTATCCTATTTAAGTGTGCCAACGTAGCATGATGCAACTCTATGCCGACATTGGAGAATAAGAATGTTAGAGTCTTGCTAAGATTAAGATTGGTTTTAGTTTTAGGGTGTGCCTCTGGGTGATAATATGTATGCCTTTTAATATGCTCAGTTTCCATACTTATTTTTTTCTCATTCAAGATCGATGTGTATAAATTTCTATATGTAATGTATGCCTTATAATTATAATATGTATGCCTTTTAATATGCTCAGTTTCCATACTTATTTTTTTCTCATTCAAGATCGATGTGTATAAATTTCTGTTGTGTATATATTTTGTAATAATATTAATATGGGTCTCCTAAATTAACGCTGGATGTTCATGGCACTTTCATCGGGGAATCTCAACAAGTCATAATGTTTAGATTTTTTTCTGCATGCAGTTTAGAGTTTTTTTTACTTACAGCATGAGTTGGCAATATTATAAACAAGCCAAGATGTCGGCGTGTTGAATAATATCGTGAAAATAATAGTCATAAAGAAATCTCATGACAATGTCACTCATTTGTCTGAGCGTGTCATACACTGAACCAAATTATAAATATCATCTGTCCCAGAATGATTGAATAAATAAAGTTTATAATTAACTTGTAAACTTATTATAATAAGTGTATAAGAATTTATTTATAATAAGTTCGTGAACAATATTCTAGTCTCTCTCTTATATTATTCTGCAATGAGCGCGTGTGATACGAGAAGCTATGGTGCTATGCGAGAAGCTATGGTGCATTGTAGCTCGACAGAATTTTTTTTTGTCTGAGAAATCGGTAGAAAAATTAAAGTGAACATATAAATGAAAAGGAATTCAGCATTCATCATATATCTCAAATTTGGCAAATTTGAGATATTGACGGCGTCAGACGGTGAGAAAATTTCGACATTTTAGCGAAACAACGTGGCAATTTATGCATAGTGTGTCTTATTGAGCCTAGTGTGTCCTATTTGTACTAGTACATACCATAGTATACATGTCTTATAGACACATCAAACAATACAATTACAAACTTCTGATTAACTATTAATTTCACTCTGTTATCAGACGAGTAGTTTGTGTCCCCTCAGTTTTGTGTTAACTGATGTTAATAACTATTGCTAAAATAATATTCCATTGATTAATAATATTTATAATCATTAATGAAGTATTGTCATCAATAATATTACGTAGTTTCAAAAACTAATAATAATTTCAAAAATAACTCTGTGTTGCAGTTCACAAGGAAAACATATTAATAATACACACTCAAACTTATAACTACGCTCTTATGATCTCATGTAGTCAAATAGAGGCTAAAAACTGCTGATATACCAATTCTTTATGTTACTGATCATATAAATAATTTCCTCCGAACAGTTTTACGCCATAATGTGCAACCAAAATTGACTCACCAGCACTGTAGCACATATGATGAAAGAAGCTTTGTAGAGCAGCATTATTAACAAGAAGTAGCATCTTCAATTTAATTGTTCCACCATGGGAAATTAGGATTATAAACTATAATGGAAGCAGAAAGACTCGTACAGGCCAACGCAGCCATCGTTCACTCCAAGCAGTTGAATGGAATAATTCGATTTATAAATTCGTGGCTGGAACATTAAGAAAGTTGATTTTTTTAATTATGATTCAAACCCGAAATTTCAGTTTCTCGTCTATGTGATTTAAGAACATAAATTGAGTGGTAAAACCATTTATTATAATTTATGGTCCAGTAAAACGTTCAAATGACAAGTATAACAATAAAATGTTCCGTGGGAAGAATTTGTAATGACTAATTTATACTACATCATATTATTTAACTGGTAATATTTCCAAGCCTTGTTCAGATCCATAACCCAAGAGCTTAAATTTCGTGAAAAATTACATCATCGCACAGACGAGAACAACAAATTTTTCAATATAAATTGGATTTCAGAAAGTTTCGAAAACAGTAACATCTTAAATATATAAGAAAAAAAATAAATGGAATTATAGAATTATTATAGAATAGAATTATTTTCAATATTAAAACACGAAACGACTCATTCCTGCACACGAGTTGAAGAAACTGAGCAGGTAACTTTGTTGCTTCGCTCGAATAATCTTATCTTCAAGTTGATAGTACTATCCGTGCTGCAGGCAGTCGCAGTCCGCGTAGGTATGCATTCATAGTCACCTGTCATATTACGCGTAGGTATGCATTCATAGTCACCTGTCATATTACGCGTAGATATGCGTTCATAGTCACCTGTCATAGTACGCGTAGATATGCGTTCATAGTCACCTGTCATATTACGCGTAGGTATGCATTCATAGTCACCTGCCATATTACGCGTAGATATGCATTCATAGTCACCTGTCATAGTACGCAGAAGAATGCAGTCATAGTGGGCAGTCATAGTCCGACATTCCGCATTACTTCGGTGCTGAAGTTTCATAGTTCACCTGTAAGAGCTTAATTACTAGCGATTACTCTGTCAGTTGAGCAATATGGGTATGTCGAGCCTCCAGTAGTTTGGTAAAATTTACCTGCTATTCGCTTCATTATTTAATGCTTAATCTTCAGCATCATCCTAGGCTGATCTTATCATAGAATGAGGAAGCGTACATCACAATGTGTCTGTAGTTTTCTTTCCTTGTCCCGGGGGGCGCAGCCGTTGGCCACAAATTTTACTCTTAAATAAGCCCTGGAGCCAGCGCCCAGCTTCAACATGCATTAACTTATTCAGCCTCAGAAGTAGAAGCCGCAGACTACACTTGAACTCCGTAATCCAGACAAGCGACACGCTGCCGAAAGATAATAGCGCCGTAGGTCTTCAGCCACTGCTCAAGCATGCTCGCTCATAAGCAGGCAGTTCCTCGTCCGGCTGTACCTACTCCGGCCTAACCACTTCTGGCCTAACCTATTCACGCTGTCCCGGCTCACATCCTTCTTGCAGCCAATGACTGGCTCTACCAGCACACTTGGACCGCCTTTCTAACTTCTTCTTGAAGCCAATAAGGTTAGGTTAGGTTCGCTCAGTTTTTTTTTTTTTTGTGGAGAAAGGTTGCAGCTCGTATAGGTTAGGCCTAAAGAGGTTAGGCCAGAGGAGGTTTGGCCAGATGCAGTATGGCCAAGTTTACCTTCAGCAAGCTTTATTTGTAGCTTTGGACATCTGGCGCTATGGCTTTGAGCACTGGACTTCATAGGCCGTTATGCAATCTAGCGTTTTTACCTATGGAAAGGAATATGAACTAAGTGTGAAGTATGGCAAAGCTGGCCTCCAGCATGCGCCCCTTTCTTATGGGGTTACGTCAAGGAAGCTGTTTACGTCCTGCCTCTACCAGCAAATCTGTTTACGTCCCGCCTCTACCAACAACTCTTTACACGTCCCGCCTCTACCAGCAACTCTGTTAACGTCCCGCCTCTACCAGCAACTCTGTTTACGTCCCGCCTCTACCAACAACTCTGTATACGTCCCGCCTCTACCAGCAACTCTGTTAACGTCCCGCCTCTACCAGCAACTCTGTTTACGTCCCGCCTCTACCAGCAACTCTGTTTACGTCCCGCCTCTACCAGCAACTCAGTTTACGTCCCGCCTCTACCAGCAACTCTGTTTACGTCCCGCCTCTACTAGCAACTCTGTTTACATCCCGCCTCTACCAGCAACTCAGTTTACGTCCCGCCTCTACCAGCAACTCTGGTTGATCTGAAGAACAGTATCACTGCTACGGTACACTCAGTAACAGAAGATATGCTTTCTCGTGTGTTGGACGAGTTTGGCTACCGTTTAGATGTTTACCGTGCAGCACAAGGGGGACTTTTTCAACATTTATAAACATGTAAAAAATTGAATTTTTCTCTTTCCATTGGTGTATGAACTATTCATTTTAGATTCATACTTAAATGAATACAAATTTATAATATTGGGTCTATTATTTAGACTAATCCTACATTATACAATTTTAGCTATTTCATTCAAAAATTTTGAAGCACGAAGGACATATTTAACAAACTTGTATGGTCCCTCAGTGATTGAATTGATTTTTTGCTTGAGTAAAATTGAGTAAAATTGCCATAAAGTTAGATTTATAAATCAAATTACTGAATTATATCGTATAATAATTTTCTTCAGCAATTTTTCTTATTTTAGTATCATGAATGCAGGACTAATAACTAAATATAAGTATTAAAATTTTGTTCAACTTAACTAGACTTGTCAAAAATTTAGTGTTAACAGTCAAGACTAGTCCTACTGGATTACATAGCTGAATGAACACTATAGCAGGAACGAACAATTTCTATGAACTTTAATACCGGCTTGGCATTAACTTGAGTTAATCCTGCAGAACTTCCTGCGAGACTTGCTGAAGGAGGCGAAGAAGGATCAGGACGTCAAAGAGTATGCACTGAGTACACTGAGACCATGGTGAGTGCACTGAGTACACTGAGACCATGGTGAGTATGTACTGAGTACACTGAGACCATGGTGAGTATGTACTGAGCATCGAGAAACTAATGTGATTTTTAGGTAACGAACGTAAGTGGGCTTGATGTGTAAAGCGACTAAACTGAGGGAAATTGGCTTCAGGAAGCCATGTAAATATGCTGGGTTAGTTAATAATTTTTTTTTTAAAGGCCTCCCACACTCACCATTCCAACAAAAAAAAAGGAATTAATTTTATTAATTAAAAACAGGGAATGGTTTCATGTCAATGATCAGGGCCCCGACCTTAACGCCTCTGATGGTGGCCTACACCGACTCCGAGGGTCACTGAGCTGTGACGCGAGCGAGGAGCGGGCCCACGTCGAACTTTTCTCTGACTGCCGTTAGAATGCTAGCTGCATTGCCTCTCTGCACAGCCAAACCCAACCTTTGCTCCAATGCCAAACCCAACCTTTGCTCCAGTTAATAATTTACACTGAAAAGAGTGATGCCACATACAAAAAAAATATGTCCCAACCATGTAAAAAAAGTTTTCTAATATTATCTTAATTTATTTCGATGCAATTACCTATAGGGCGTTCATTCTTTTCTACTAAGGCAGATGTAATAAATAATAAATGGAAATTTTTATATTCAATAAATTTTTTGACCTTATTTAATAATAAATCAGCAGTCGATCTGTAACTCATATTTTAGTTTTCTGATTTACAGAAACTTTCATTTTATTCCCCTCCGATAAAATTACTGATATATTTTTCCTAATTCTACATTTTGCCCTTATTCTCATCGCATTTCACGGATAATATTTTTTTAATTCTCTGATAATTTTTTTTAAATACTTGTAAATTTATGATCACTGTTCATGTGTATCAAAACATGAAAATCATAAATTTAAATCGTGATATACTATCACCATAAACAATTTTTCATGCAATAGGAAAATGTTTAAGTAATCTAATGAATCGATAACTCCACGCAGCTTCAAGTCTTCGACCAGAACAAGGACGGCAAACTGCAGCTCTCTGAAATGGCCAAGTAAGTCAACTGAATGAGACGGTGAGTTGCTTAGCTTTTTTATTTTGAATGGATGCATTGGAGTGTCTAGAAGTAGGCAGTGAATTTAGCTTGCCCATGAGTAGGTTAGCCAAATCGATGTCGACGAAGCGAAGGCATTAGAAAACAATTGAATTTATTGAAGATATCGGCATCCCAGAACAGCTGTTAACAGTAAAATTTTGGAATTAGCTGAAACACACGCCGTTGACTATAAGGACTTGTTCAACATTGGTTACCTATATTTATTTGTGAAATAATAAGTCGATAAAAATTGAGTGATAATGTTGCATTATTAATAATATTTTAATCTTTTTCAGGAAAAGGTTTTTCTTGTTCATTTGAAGCGAATAAATTTTTGTCTAATTCTAGTAATAAATTTTTTTCTTATTGTAATTATTTTTAAACAAATTATAAGATTTCTTAGTAATATTCATTCATTTATTCATTTAACGGAGAAATCGGATTACTGTTTGAAATTTAAGTCATATGTATTAATTTGCATTGAATCATGCTTTTTGCCAGGTTGTTGCCGGTGAAAGAGAATTTCCTGTGCCGGTCGGTATTCAAGGTGAGCGAGGTAAGATGGAGCCCGCAGTGTTGCCAGGAGGTCGTCGACACAGGGGAGCCATATGGTCATGATGGAGTGTTGCCATCTGGACATGACGACGTGTTGCCATATGAACGTGCTAGAATGTTTTCATATGGTCTTACTGTTGCATCACTTGTGTGATGCAACATGGCCATATTAGCCTTTTGGCCAATGGACATCTTAGCATGTTGCCAAATAGGCACTCTAGCCTATTTCCACATGGTCATGTTAGCATGTTTCCATATGGGCTTGCTAGCGTTGTGTCATATGGACATGCAAGATTATGGCAACATAGTCATGCAAGCTGCTGGGTTAAGCGTGTGAGCTTGTGATGTCTCTGCATCGTGGAAGTTGCTGCCTGTTCTCAGAAAGATACAATCTCAAGTTGAAATCTAATCAGTTCAGTATGCGAATAATATTTTTTCACGACCGCGAGTGACGCAAAGAATGGTTCTGTCTCTTTTCAATTAATACCAAAATGTATTTAAATTTCGAATATTACTTCCAAAAAACTCAATACAAATTAGAGACTGAATATATCATGCAAATTTTTGTGATATTTAGAGATTTATAATTTCTAAATACATTCAACCTGGAATAGCAATTATTTCAATCATAATAAAATCTTTTGAAATTTTTCAGAAATTATTTACGAACGCATCCAATTTGGTTGCCATTCACTAAATGATCTATGGAAATAATATCAAATACCATGGAATGGAGTAAAATGATCTGCTTTAATATAAAAAACATGCATTTCGTAAGTTTCTTGAAATATGCAATTTTAATACATTGTTGACAAGAACCCCATTAAAAACTGATCAGATTTCAAGCAATTCCTGGAACAGGTTGCAGTAGGTAGGACCTCTCGCAAGCACAACACAGGAGCCCGATACTCGTGCATAACTCACAACCAGCTCGCTGAAATATTATCGTTTTCAAGTCTATTATAGGTCCCAAAATTTCTGACAGTATTACATTCATGACAATTAAATTGTTTTCAATTGGCACGATAGAATTTTTGGACTGAATTTAAGCTAATGACAATCAAATTGCTTTCAATTATGACCTCAAACCTATGGAAAGGAAACCCAATTTGCCGAAAAAAGGTTTCCTTCATTTATCACTATATAATTTGCAAAAGTATTTAAATTGAAGATAGTCAAATTGTTTTCAGTTATAACATCACGCTTTCGACCATATTTAAATTGACGACAATCAAGTTTGATTTCATTTAGCAACTTGCGTATGTTGATTATCATCATTACTCTCGTAATTTCACCGTGAATTTTGTTCGAGTATCGGGTTCCTAAATCCCACGCTGGACCACGCACCAGTTAGAACTCAGAGATGCTTCAGCTTCTGATTCCTCTAATCAGAAGCTGACGAGCCTCTGAATTTTGTATGTGACCATAAGCGCTGCCCTGTGGCGAGGCCAACAGGCCGTCGTGCACGAGCTGCATCTTCACTGTAGCAAATTAGTGCTGGTTTGTTAACATTGTTGGCATTTGACAACATTTTTCGCTTGCGTCTGTTACTGCTTCTGTTATTGTTATGCGAGTGCTAGTGTTAGGCGCGTTCATTCTCTGAAAGATCTGAGGCCTGCTGCTACCAGGACAGCCGGAAACTAAATTATTTGAAAATTATCAATAATGGAACATAACGTATATGGTTTAAATAACATTAACCGTTATTTTTCAATGTCAAGGTTATTAGATCATGCAATATGAGCAGATATATCTATTTGTACCAATAACACCGCATCTGCATAATTGATTTTAAATCCAACATAATTATATACTGCAAGTGACTACATGAAGGAGGATGGAATTCTGTTAAGTCTACGGATTTTACACCTGACATTCAAGTATCTTAATACTACTCGTTGATTTCACTCCCATACTCAAATGTGAAATTATCTATTCAAATAGTAAAATGATTCAATGTTTAGCATGCTCATGAATTAAAATATTATTTTCCTTCTCGAATATTACTAGGAATGAATACCGTTAGGTTTTGAAGAAATTATTACGAAGTAATGCTTGTAACTGCGCCACCGCGACTGCATGCTAACAAAAACCATAGACGAATTTCAAGTTGATCATCAAGGTAATCATCACATTATTGGTCCGTAAAATACTGAATATTTCATGATACCCTAAATCCAATGTGGATCCCCAAATGAACAGTCGGTCCATGGGCACTATAAATCATAAGAGTTAATGCATTGTTCCAAAGAATTACGTTGCAACGCAGCAAACAATATAATTGAAATATTGAGCCATTTTTAAACCCATTTGTTACAAGTCTCTGGTAACAAAGCGTTCACTGTGACTTTTATTCCCGATAACGGCTGATGTACGCCGAGATTTATGAAGATAAAAAAATAAAAAAGTGGAATTAATCAAAATAAAATGCATTCCAAGGAATATATTCAAAAATAAATATAAATAAATTAACTATTAACCGTGATCGTGAACTATGACGCCAAGGCAAATGGAGAAATTGAGATTCCATACAAACTAAGTTAGTATGTACTAAGTTTCTGTACTTGATACATTGAATATCCACAATACTTGACTCATCAAACCACAATTCAGGATTAGCAGATAAATATAAAGCAGGATTACAATCCTTGGTAGGTGTTTGGATGTCAAAGTATTGGTATGATGTTAAACGCGGAGAAGGATTGTTTATTCTTAAGCTGCTTGAATATTTAACAAGCATATTGGACGAGTTTGTTGGAATGATTTTGTAGTTTGTTCCTGTTTTGAATTTCTAACATTTTGGCCAGCTATATGGAATACTTATGGGCCCAATTAATTTATGTATTTTTTATGACCAAATATGAGAATTTCTGAAATGATAATGTTATAATAATTTTTCCTTAAAACACATACATAGTACGATATAGTTGTTTGAGTTGGCATGAGTTAGTTAATAAAATATGTGAGAAGAATATATAATGATAATTTTGAAGGCTAATTCATGATTATTTATCATAAGCATATGTGATATACATTTCTCTAATGTCAACATAGTTCGAAAAATTTTCTCACCAATTTCGAGAACATTTTGAGGGATGCTGATACTTATTTCTAACACATTGTTCTCATTGCCTATTCTCTTTCACATCGCAGGGAGCAGCTAAAGTAACTCGCGAAGACATCGAACGCGTTTTCTCTCTATATGATAGGGTGAGTATTTCAACACGAAGATATATTATAATCATCTTTATATAATATTTGTGATAATAATGTGTAATCATATTTTTTATGCAAAAACTACATCTTATATGAGGACATTTTTTCAGTGATGCATTGAACAAGCCATACATGACAATTATTTCCAATACCCATGGTGTCACAAATCAAAATTGACGAATCACATCACAAAATTTTGCGAATATGCTTGCACTTCTATTAAATTTCTTAAAATTATTTCTTTAAAGCTATATATGTATGGCGTTTACACAATTAAACAGGTCATGCTCTTATATTGTACATAAAAGATAAATGTTCATCTTGTATCCTAAACCCGATGTTTTTCTCAGGACAATAATGGGACCATCGAGAACGAGGAGCTCAACGGCTTCCTCAAGGATCTTCTCGAACTCGTGAAGAAGGTGAGATGGTATAGGAATGAAGAGATGATTGGTTAATTGGGTAAAAAGTTAATTTGGTAATTGGATTGAAAGAATATTTGGTATCTGGGTAATTTATTATTATTATTTGCTAAACCTACGTTTTTATCTACCAACGTCTTCTAAAGAACTATTCGGCTACTTGAAAATTATAATGCATTCTCTGGTCATTAATTTCATGTATTTGAACAAGAAATTTCCGCCATCCAATACTTATTTACATTTATATACATTTTTTATTGATTTCAACCCAGCAGCATCGTTAGTTTCTCCTCAACCATTTCAAGTATAAAACAGTGCCATGTTGCGGGAAGATTACGACCTGTCAGCAATATTAATTCGACCATCTCAAGTTATTTAGATGGTATAATTTTACAGCAGCATTACGGCCTAACAGCAACATTAAATCGACCATCTTAAGCCATTTAGATGGTATAATTTTACTGCAGGATTAAGACCTAGCAGCAACATTAATTCGACCATATCCAGTTATTTAGATGGTATAATTTTACTGCAGGATTACGACCTGTCAGCAACATTAATTCGTCCATCTCAAGTTATTTAGATGATATAATTTTACTGCAGGATTACGACCTAACAGCAACCTTAATTCGACCATCTCAAGCCATATAGATGGTATAATTTTACCGCAGGATTAAGACCTAGCAACAACATTAATTCGACCATCTCAAGCCATTTAGATGGTATAATTTCACTGCAGCATTACGACCTAACAGCAACATTAATTCGACCATCTCAAGTATTTATATGGTATAATTTTGCTGCAGGATTACGACGCGCTGGACCTGCAGGAGTTCCAGGACTCGATCATGCGGGGCTGCGACTTCAACAAGGACGGCAAGATCAACAAGAAGGAACTCACGATGATCCTGCTCGCCCTCGCCAAGCACGGGTCAGACGTCGACGAGGCCGATGTGTGAGTGGGATTATTAAGATTTCACGACATATTCTCAATTTTTAAAAATATTTACTGAAAAATTAGCCCCGTATATGTTTTTTTCCAATTGGCGTGCTTCGATAACTTTAAGATTGTCGCAAGAAGGTCCCCCAAAGCGGTCGCATAGAACTACTAAAATTTTAAGACTTATTCGCAATTAATTAAAATAATCGCTCAAAAGTTTTCCCAGGAAATAACTTTTCCAGTTGATGTGCTTGGATAACTTTAATATGTGTCGCAAGGAGGTCCCTCAAAACTGTTGCTTGGTGGTGAGCGTTCTTCGCGTGTCTTTTGTCTTACGAATAACTTACACCACACATGACATCATATAATATAATGTAGTGATCACGGGATTTCTATAAATTACCATTTACAATATAATAAGTTTGTGTTTAACACATGCGCTATTACGCTATTATAAAATTGGTGTCTCACACACACGATATTAAACGGTATGGGAGGCTTATTACTCGAGCATTGTAGCGTAAGATTCCACAAACTAAAATTGCAGTAAACTAGATCAAGGCAGCATATTATAGATACAGGAGAAACAAATACACATTATCTGTTTTTATTATTCTTATAATTACTAATAACCTGCTGATACCTAACAACTGAAAGCTCTTGTCAGCACAGACAAGCCAGCAACCAACTAGCCGATATTGAAAAAATGAAGGCCTTCAAAATGAAGAAGCTGAGAAGGAGCCACATTATATGTATTCCTCAAAATGAATACCAATAATCTGGCTACACCATGGACAAATGAATTATAAGAAAGAACATGGACTATACCATGGACTCTGACTCACAAAATGAAGATGCTGCGAGTGCGCAACAGTATATGTTTTTTTAAATGAATATTACTAATCTGATTATAACCCACAATTGAAATCTGATTTTCTCACAAAATTAAGAAGCCGAGTGTGCAACAATGTTTTACTCATAATGAGTATTAATAATCTGATTATGACTCACAACTGAAAGCTGATTATTTCACAGACAAGCCGGCAACCCGCTAGCCGAAATCGCCAGCTTCGGGATGAAGGCCCTGAAGATGCAGAAGCTGAGAGTGCGTCACTTCATGACCCGGACCCTCGGTAACCCCAACGCCACCCCGCCCTCAGGGTCCAGTTAGTCACCATA